ACACAACAATGCAGCTCAGCCTAACCTTGTAATCAACAGATCTGACAGGTACCTGATGATGACAAAACCTTGTCGAAACGTTGTACATTTGCTGTCATGTTAAACTTATATTAAAGTTTTTCTTCATTACCCATTTAAGCCGTCTCCAGCCATTACAAGATTATGGAGTTGGGTTGGGAAGTTCTCCCCTACCCACCATATTCTCCAGATATGGCACCATTAGATTACCATCTTTTTCGTTCGCTGTAATATCATCTTAACGGGAAAACGTATGCAAATGTGGAGGTTGTTAAAAAAGGACATCGATATGTTTTTGCTTCAAAGGCAAGTGATTTCTTTAATCAACATGGGCACTAACTGGGACTTCCGGTTTACATGACGTCACACATCTTACTATATATTACATTGCGCAGGCTAAAGGTCGCCCTTTGTTCTCCTGAAGAAGAATAGTCAACTATTCGAAAGCGCTTGAGTTTTGGGTTTTATTTTCAGTCTATTACACTTTATATGTGATCCTTTGTGCTAACTCTTATCAAAATAGACGACCTAATAGTTTGCATTGTATTTAGTGAAGGAATTATTCTCCGGAGTGAGTTTGATGAATAAATATAAATTTGCTCGGCTGTATCAAGATTTATCTTGAAATTGTTGATGGAAACTATTTTTGTTTTTATTTTATCAGTGTAAAGATCACTAAAATCAAAAGTTTCTGTTGTTTTAGTCTGAAAGCCTTTAATTTTGTCTTCACATTCTATAGAATTACTGGCGATAATGAACAGATTAATAATGGCTATCTCTCTTTGATAATATTGCAGTATTGGTTTAAAATGCTCTTTAAGACCCTTTCCATACGTATAGGGATCAACGGGTATGTCATCACGTTTATAGACTTAACATTCAAAATTTTATTAAACTAATTTAAGGTAGCAGGCGATTGGAAATATACAGCATTCAAAGCAATTTTCTTCCAGTAATATGTTTTAGATGACAATGTGACTTGACAATTATCTTTTCAAAATTAAATCATAACACATAGTTCCATGCTGTTTAAATACTACAAAACAGCTATAATTATTCTGGATTCATATATTAACTTTGATCTTTTGATAGTTTAGATGCTTGGTAATAATCAGAAATTTTGTTCTTTCTTCTTTGTAATAATTACATCAACAACTATTATTATATACAATACTTTCAAGATCCTCAAAATGTTAACTTTATAAAATAACTTACATGTACTGTTGATTATATAAATAGGTAAACACCCATTTTAACTTGAATGCTAAACAGCTATTATGTGATTTTGGATGTTTGGAAATTGTACCTGTCATTATACATTGTGTGTGTGTGTTTTTAATACTTTTTATTGTTATTTTGCTAAATAAGCCCCTTTCCATTGAAAAAGTTAGCCTTTGATATATTTTTCATGGTTTTTAATAATTTATAAGTATATTAAGAATATTTAATTTAAGAACTACTAACTGTGGGTTCGTCATAAATACAAGTGAATTATAAACTTAAGTACACTAATGATTTTTTTTTATTCTCTGCAAGGCTATTGCCTAAAAAAAGTTACGAAGTACTGATAGGTAATATTGTATGAAGTACATTAATGGGCTTTCGTAGGTCACAATATGTTTTAGATTGTAGAAAGTTGTGCTGATGTTAAGTTGTTTGAAGAACGTTACATCTATGACAGCATTTAAGGCTAACAACTAGTGCTTGTGTGTTCTATTATTTATTTAATGTTACTTTCATTAACAGTATTGGTTATTATGCGTAATATATTTAGTTTTATTATTTTAATTTTTTTATTATTAAACTCTTATTATAAAGATTGTTTTACATTGTTATTTTATTAGCATAAAAAGTTACAGCTATCCTAAATCTCTTAAGCTGGCCTAACCTCGTGAGATATTATTGGGTTTATGGCCGAAAATATCGTTAAAAGCAAGGGTGGCCAACTGATGAAGCAATGTATTCTAATCTTTATAAGCGAGGATATAAAAAAATTATATTTAATTAGTTATTCACATTATTAATTTTATTTACGTTTTGTGAATAATCTTACAGTGCTTTAAGTACTGAGAAATCATTTGAAATGTAAAAAATGAAAATACGTTGAAATGTAAATAAGATATTTTTAATATTATATGCTAAACATGTTTAGACATGGTCAATTAAAGTTACGTATTTCTGAATGTTTCCTATACAACCTCCTTTTTGTTATTATAAAAGTAACTCCATTCACAGGTTTTATTATTTTGATTCAGTGTTTTCCACTCCCTAGATTATATATGAAAGATAAATTAACTCCCACGTTTAACAGCATTCTGGTAGCTCAGCAATAAGCTTGAGGTCTTATAACACTAAATTTAGCGATCGATTCCTCTGTCTCACGGTGGGTGAACTGTAACTTTATGGAGTTACAACGCTGAAATCCGGGGTTTGATCTCACTCGGTGGACAAAGTGCAGATAGCCAATTATGCAGCTTTGCACTAAGAAACACCACCTAAAAAATCGATCTCTCTGGTGTGTATGGCACAGATAGCCTGTTGAGTAGTTTTATGATTAAAACAAACACATACTAATTATATCCCTCAATGAATTTTTTATAACACGCACTAAATAGGGAGTTGAAGAATAGAAAACAAGATTGCATATGAGGTACGAAATATCGTATAGCTAATTTTTTAAGTAATATTTCTTCTGCCAATGATCAACTCAAAAATTAATCCCACAAGTTTTAGTTATTATTTATGTTTTACAGAATCAACAAGGTTGGCGACATACATCTGTTAGTGTTGACTACAAAAAGTGAAAAAGAAGATGTTATAGTTTGGAATGATGTAAGCCTTTTTTTCCTCAGCGGACAGGATTATTCCACACAATGGAGCTTTTTACCCAATACAAATTCTCAAATCAGGTAATTTAGGTTTTAAAAAATGCACGTCCGCCACAAGTAGTACGTATCATAAGTTTTGGTACGTTAAATTTAATTCAAATTTGATAATGAGGAACCCACTTTGAGGCTAATAAAAGTTTGGAGACGGCTTGAATGGGTAACGAAGAAAAATTTATTACAGGTTTAACATAGTAACAAGTGTACAATGTTTCCACAAGGTTTTGCCATCATGAGAAACGAGTAGTTTAGTAGCCACAGGAATATACGTACATAGTATGAAACAAATTAATCTTATGATCGAAAACTACTTAACGGCTAGTAAAAGAATCTTGGCTGGTTTAGAGTGGTGATGTTTTGTTCAGTATAGATGATTTATTTGATTTTACGTTTGTTGATGTTGCGTACTTTAAAATATGGGTATTTTAATAGATATATTATGATATTTTGTTTTGAAGTAGTAGTAAATATGTGAAGGTTTTTAATTATATTCAGTGAATCTTGTTTCCAATTTTCTTCCATTTTTTTCCGAAGTAGAATTCTGGGCAGTTGCACATTATTTTGTAAATGATTTTGGCATTGTGTACTTCTATATAATTATAAATTAGTAACGATTTTAGTTTAAGGCTGGACTTTTGAGTGAATTTGAAGCCAACATGCATTTTATATTTAATGGCAAGTTTTATCCAAGAGCGAATTATATTTGAACTGATTTCAGTGATAAATGGTAAGCTACAGTGTAAAGCTGTGTTGTTGATTGGTTCATTAATGTGAAGTTTGTTCCTGAGTTGAGTTTATAGAATTTTATTGTAGTGGTCGTATGAGATTTTTTTCAACAATAACTGGTAGAAATTGGCTGGTATGAATGAAGGATTCAGTAAAATGTGATTTTTATTTGTAATAGCGTTGTTCATTGTGCAGGCTATAGAGTCTTGAAAGTATGTTTATGAAGTTTTTACATATTGATCTTTTTTTTTTCTTGGTTTCATGAGCGAACTCACAGAGGCTCTATAGGCTAGTGTGAGTGTTTTTACGGAGTTTTGAATTTTTGAAATTAAGAAAGAAGGGTTGTTTGTTGAGTTCGTGTTAGATGGGGAACTTAATGTTTAGGAGAATGGATAGTTTGCGAGTGTTCAATAGAAGTGATCCAGCAAAAACGGAACCAACATATCTATACCAGTATAGGAGGAGATGAAGTGTAGAATTTAAGGTTTGTGCTTCAATCTATGTGGGGAGAGCACGTAATACAGGATTAACCATGCTTAAACTAACCACTGTCCATGGAATTCGGTTCATTGTTTCTAATAGATTAAAACTAAGGCATTTACAATATATGTAATTAAAAAATAATCTCATTTCTTCTTGAGTAAGGCCTGCTGCTATTCTTATGGATCTGGAACTTCTTGTATTTTGTTACACATTCTGAGAAATATCTGACAATGACAGTTTTGTAGGAATGGTTGCAGAAACTAGAATTCGTTTTGTTATGTGATATCACATATGTTTATTAAAAAAGAAACATACATTCAAACTGCTTTAATTTATATTAATATTTTAGGGCGGTAACATCAGGAATTTTCTTCAGTTCAAATGTCACAGACATTGTCCTTGGTATAAATGACAGTGAATACGGTTCGCAGGTAAGACATGCTGTTGATATTTTGTTTACACAATATACAGATGTAGACTAGAGGGCAGTATTAACATAATATTGTTATAGTTGTCCTTTGAATTTGATAAACATAAGACTGTAAACTCATATGACTATGATGTAAATGAGTATTCAAGACTTCTTAGGCTTGCTGTTGTTAATACTTATTTAGCTTCTAGTAGAAGTTCTAGTATGACCATTTTTAGTTAACTGCTTTATGTTCTGCTACAAAATAGCAGAAGTTATATAAAACCTAACATTTTTATAGCAGAAACATCATATTTCCATAGTAGTACAGAGGGATCATTTAAAAAAAAAGAAATAATAATTATGAAATGTTAATAACCTCTTCTAACCAGAATATTGTGTGTTTTACAAAAACCTGAGCTAAACCCAAGTAACTTTAATTACAAGCTGCTTAATGCCATAGTGGGTAAAGGTCAATAGACTGAAATCCTTACTTTCATGTTTCTGATTGAGGATGCTGAGACATTATATTCTAAGCACAATGACACCTACAGTTGAACTCACCATTGCTAAGAACTAATATATGTAAAAACCAGTCTAATTGAAAACATTAACTTAATTAGTTTTAGCCTAGCATGGAAAATTCCAATCATTCAAACTTCATAAATCTGAATATGGTTGTATACATTAAAAAAAAGTATTTGGAAAATTCTTTGGGTTTATACAAGTGTGACACAGTTGTGGTGTACAAACACAAGAATATATATTCACATTGCTAAGAAATTGAAGTAGATATATATTATATGTAAGTATTGCGGTATCTACAATTTTACAAATTTTGTTAAGTATTATAAGTATCAAAGTAAAATTTTTCTAACTATTCATACGTAGGCACAGTAGTGGCTCCAGCAATAATACTGCCATAACTATATAAAGAACTGAACATTTGGTCAAATCTGGGGTATTGACAGCTGTTCCAAGTGAATGCTGGAATGTCACTATTGTTATGTTTCTAGACATAACTAAATACTTTTATATCACATTAGAAACAGCAAGCAAAAAGTGAAAAAATTATTCTTTTCTTTTTTGAAGTTGTAATAATAAAATTTTGCTGATGTTAATCTGAACTAGAGATTGTTGACAACTGTAGCACATATATTAATGTATTTCATAAATATTATTTTGATAACTTTAATGGTGAATTGCTGATGGAAAACTTGATGAAATGGAATTTGGGTTGATAGCTCTCTTTAAGAAATGGTGCTCAAAATCCACTTTGAGTGGAATCTTATTTATAATCAATTTTAAAATGTATTATATCCATTATATATATTAAGTGAAATAACCATCCAAAGACTGATAAAAAAGTTGTTTTGGTTGTGCCCTTGCTCTTATTCCATTATCAAAGCCAGAATTCTTAAATGAATGGACTTATATGTTCAAGCTTTAATCAAGATAAAAATAAAGCTTGTTTATGTTTGAAAATAGTTTTAATAAATAAAACATATGTAGTGAAAAAATCTGAGCAGTTTGTATGAAAAACATTTAACATTTCTTAGCATAGAAAAAAGTATTACAATTTGTCTATTAGGACTTATTAATGAACACATGTGCATAATACCTAGATATATAAACTACTCTTTCCTGAAGTGCAAACTTTATATCTTCCTAACACCTGTAAAGTAATAGAAGTCGGTGATATTGCTTGTTAAAACAAAAAGTAGTGATATCTGATCAAAACATTTTGTATGTTCAAAAACAGATAAGTTATAACAAAGTGATCAGCCATATAAAAAAACATGGTATAAAAAAGGGCAAACCCTGTAAAGATGTAAAAGTGGGTAAGTTAAACAAGAGAAAACTTGATCTTTTTATTGCAACTAGAACAACCAGCAAAATGAATGTAAAAAGGGTGCCAAGCTTACTTCAAATTTTCCATATTTATCTTACCCACTTTTACATTACATCTTTACAGGGTTTGTCCTTGTATATAACTTTGCTTTTATTTTTTGATACCACATCTTTATATGGCAGCTGACCTGTTAATTCTAACTTGGCTGATTTTGCACAAACAGTATGTTTTGATCAAATACTAAGTATAAAATAAACACATTATATAGGTGAAAGGTTTGTATTCTACATTTCAAATTCTTACCAAACAAATTGAACTTGATACATTCTAAAAATTTCACTTGAAAAGAGAGAAAAAGAGAGTTTATTTATATTTTGAGTTTTTTTTTGAGTATTATTGGTTGTTAAAAATGTAAGTTTTCAGGCTCTGTTAGCTCTGTATATATCTAAAATTTTGGATAATAAATTTTTCCAGCTAGTATTTTAGAAATTAGTCAAAATAAAAGAATTATTATTTAATGATAATTTTCTATGAAATATTGCCCACTGTATCTATTGCTAGTATTTTGATATTTATAAGCTATCATTACAAAAAATATGTTAGTTGTCCATTTTTTTTCCTTTGAATTAAACAAACATTGTAAAAATATTCAGATTATTTAAAATTGCATTGTTGAAAAACAACTGGAATTTCAGCATAATTCATATAGTTGACAACATTTTCCTGCATTGATTTTTTAACAATTGTTTGATTTTGTTTTTGCTTTAAAATATTTTTGCTACTTAGCTTTTAGTTCTTGATGCTTCCACTGGTAGCATCAAATGGAACCAGACTTTTGAAAATGGAACAATTACAGTACTTATGACTACTCCCAAGTTGTTCTATTCTCGAGATGGATTACTTGTGAAGTTTGTTAAGCCATTGAATCTTTCTCAGGTATGGCATAATGAATATCAGCATTGATACAATTACTGAACATATCTTTTCTTTATTATACTTATATCCTTGTCAAAATATATATTTTCATAAACTATGTAACTTACATAGTGACAAATTTTGTACAATACATAGAGTCCATTTGGATATGCAATAAATTGTACAGTTTACTTCAGATTTCATTTCAAAAAAGAAAAAAAATTCTAAAGGTCTATCTTGATTATTTTTTCAAATTCAAATGTTCTTGCAAAACTAAAGTTTGGCAAGGTAGTACAGGAATCTCTTGATGTTTACACAGTGAACATATCTGTTTCAAGTAGTCTGAGTTACATGTGTGATGAGAATTTTATAAGTATCAACATCCAAATATTATGTTTGTCTTCATATTACCTTGTTTCTAAATTCAAAAAATTACCAAACACATTCACAAACACCAAGTTATGATGTTTTACAGAAATGAATACAAAACCACAACAGGGTTCAAACCCATCTCATTTCTTACTGAGAATTATACTCTTTGCTAAAAAACTGAGCCTCAGTGTATGTGCTAAAATATTTAGTTCCTTGAGACAATTTTTTATTTAAAACTTGCAAAACTATAATTCCCAGTCATTAGTTAAAATTGATCACTTGGGTGTAAGCCCTGCTGTCTGCTGAAGACATTCAAATAAAGATTTGTTGGATAACAAGTAAAACATAAGACTAATAAGTATAACAACACTGATAGAATTATAAGCCCCCAAGTTTGTTAAAAGCATAAAACCTTTAACTTTTCATGAGATGGGGGTCCTGCAGACTGTCTCAAAAACTTAGAAACCATTATTTCTCGGGTAGGGTATATAATGCAATAATGTGTAGGGCTAATTTTAAGTTATTTTAATGATAATGTTGACATTGAAATAGTTTCTCTGATCAGACATCTGTTAATTTATATGTAATTTAACATCTAACCTGCTAGATGTGATGGTGGATTGGATATACTTTATAATGTGTGTGAGTGTTCCTTGTACTGTGGTGTAGGTTCTAAAAAAATTTGCAAATCAACATTGGTAATGTGAATGACTTTTTCTAAGATTAACTTTCCAAATGAACAAATGTTTCTTAGTCAAGGACCATGTCTAAATGACACCATGTGGACTATGGCATAGGATAAAGTGTTTGAAACTGTTTTTTCTTATATGCCATAATACTTTGCTTGGATATGTTTTTAATCTTACATATCATACATAAGAACTATTTAAACATTAAGCATGAGTAACAAGCTAGTTTTAATAATAGAAAGTATCTATTTCTTTTTAACTCTCTAGGTGAAATCACAGGACAGGCAGCAGTTTAAGGACTACATAGAGCAGTATATTGTATTAGAGTGTACAATTTCTAATGACTTCACTATTGTGTTCAGTGAAATTGTCTCTCAGGGCTGTTCAGGTAGGTGTACTATAATCTGCAACAATACTGAATGTTATTCTGTAAATGTTTTTCAGTTATACTGTAGGAATGTAGTATTCATATTGACATGGGAAGATGATTAATAAAACAAAATGTACCTACAGCACTAGGTGGTGCATGAAGTTAAAATTTAAAATGTCATACTTGTCAGTGAAACATGAATAAAATATAAAATTAAGTAGACAAAGAACCAGTGCTGGATTTAGACTTGGTGAGGCCCTAAGCTATATAAAGCTTGGAGGCCTCTTGTTAAAAAGTTGCACCAGAAGGTCTCACAAAGGTGCATACCAAAACAGGACCTTGGGTTGCCACAAAAAATTAAAAACATATATATATCTTTTAATTATTTAATAGCAAGGTATTTAAAGTGAAAAATAAAATTTTAAAAGTAAAAAAAAAAATCTGAAATTTTGTGAGGCCCTAAGCTGTAGCTTGTTTAGCGTATGCCTAAATCTGGTGCTGCATAAAACTAATCTGAGATAAATGTTACAAATAAAACTTTAATGCACAAAAGAAAAGAACAACAAGGAAAATAATTTTGTATGTCTGCTTTACTTTTTTTTTCTTTATTTGCAGGTCAGGATTGCAGTCCAGATGTTTACAGTCCCGTTAAGACAGGTATATTTACACAAGTAAACAGTATGACTAGATAGTTTTCTATAGACATTTACAGTCAAATATCACATTTAATGTAATTCAGAAACTTAAACATCTAGAGTAATGCAGCTCAATTTTCAGTAGGGAATATTTTATTAGCCTAGAAAGAGCAGATATTTTGTAATGCAAAAATATTTGTACTCCAGCATTGTTTTAATTGTGCAGTTACGTGAAATACAGAAACTAAAATGACAAATTAAAGATTCAAGTTACAGATTTAACAGATAATATAAAGGCTTTTTAGATACATATATTTCATGTCTCATATCAAACAATTTTGATTTTTTTAGTTTTATTATTTTTATGTTTCTTTTTTCTTTTAATTTTTCATTTCAAGCTTCTTTTAGAGTAGTTAATCTTGCACATGATTATGCCAGAAAGTAACCTAGTATCTTAAAGTATTCAGGATGTGTTTACATTTGTTTATTCCATGATTGTATCAAACTATTCTTAACATAGGCATCTATGTTATTTTTACACATGTTTTTGAAATTATAAATTTTGTAATGATGTTTTATTTGCAGCCTCAGTGATCAATCTCAATCATGATGGAACCCCAGACATTGTAGTGGCTAGTACCTCTGCCATTGAAAACAATAATACTTTGGATAACTCCTTCCATCAAAAAACTGTGCTACAATTAGTGGATTTTTCAGCTCATATCCAATTGCTTCAGTGTAAGGTTCCATGTGATTGCTAATCTATTTTTGAAGTATGACGCTGTAAAATTACTGGTCTTTTTCTTTTTAATTTTATAATTTTCTTTTTAGAAAAATTTTGACTTAATTACTTGGCATTAGTACTGGTGTTGGAATATATTTAGATTCTATCTCTGTTTACATGAAATAGAGTGATTGCTGTAACCATTTACATCTAATGTGTAATTATATTTCTGTGATGTTGTAATTGGATATGTGTTAGTTTAACTCTTTTGCTGCATAGTTTGGATATATCTGAATAAACATTTATGCTCACTGACTGCAAAATTTGGATTTCCCTCTAGTCTGGGATTTTCTTTTATTTAGGAACATTTATTTATATTTTTTTCGACCTTTTTGATCTAATATATTTGTTATTATTAATAGAGTTTTTATTTTAAACTCAATCTAAAAAAACATAACGTGTGATTTTATTCTACTTAGAAGTAAGAACAATTTTCTTTTGTGGTACATTCTTCTGTCCGATGTTTATTTATGACTCGGAAATTGCTGATATTTCAGCCTAGGATACAGCATGGATTAGCGTACATTTTCTTTCCAGTGTATGAAAAACTCATTGGTTTGTTTGTACTCAAATGTTATGCCAACAGTCAGTAAGCTGTCATAAAATGATATAATATTTTTAATAATAACAAAATTATATATAACTCAAGCAAATACGTTATTACTTGTTATAAATTTAGCTGATGCTAGAATGGAAAATATATTCCCATATTTCTAGCTTTCAAGATAAGATAAAAATGATATTTGTTTACTTTCAAGAGAGTGTTCATTGCATTCTGTGTTGCAGTTAAGATGATAGTGAAAATCTTGATCTTTTTGTTGATGTTTGAGTCACTGAATGAGATGAGAATGATATCTGTTTTAGTTGATGTTGAAATTTATTACAGAAAGAGAGGTGATGATATCTGTTTTAGGTTTGTATGGAGAAATTTATTACAGTAAGAGAGATGATGATGATATCTGTCTTAGTTTTTGAATTAAAATTGATGAGGGTAAAGAAAGTGAGAATAATATATCTTATTATTCTTATCTTAGTAATTATTTCAATGAGAAAAGTGAGAGTGATAACCTTCTTTTTGTTTTGAAACTGATAACATTAAGTTAAGAAGAAAATTAAGCAATTGAAATTTGTTTTTCTCTTTGAAAAATCTTTGTATATTGACCATTTCAAATATGGGTAGACTTTTATATACAGTATACTTCCTGGTATCAAATTTCTGTTCTTTTTTTATTTTTACCAAATTGTGGAGTACAACATTTCTCTTTTTATTCAATTCAGAAAAGGATTATTCCTGAATGTGAGATTTTTGTAGCAAGAATTACACTTCAAGATGGCACTGACAGATCTAATGTTCCTTCTTTTTTAAAATAGTGTTTTTTTTATTCTGACTGTATCTTTATGTTATGTGACGTTTTTGTAGTACAGAATCATCAATTAATAACCCAGGAAAAACTAATCAGTAACCCCACTGTAGAAACGTTATTTTAGTAACTTTGCATGTGTGTAGGTGTATATAATTTAAGTACTATTTTTAAAATTTAAACTGGCCTTTTTAGTTTATAAATTATTCATTATGTGATTAATAAGTTATTCCTCTTGTTCTTGTGAGACCATTTTTTTCAAAAACAATTTCTATAAAGAAATGAATTTATAATTTGTAGTTTATATGAATGGTTAATTTTGTTGTTTGGCATCAAGAAACCCAAAATGTGTTGTCTTACTGTTCTCAAACAAGTGAAAGGTATCACCCTTGACAGTTGTTAGTAACATAACCTAGTTAATTGTATCTAGTCCATTGTTATTTGACCATGTTTTTGTAATAAGTACGGGCCAAAAAAGTGAAAGTTTCACTAATGAATCTTTGAAATCAAAACCTCATCCCCCCCCAGTGTCTTGAAGCTGTAAGTCTGCATACTTTTGATGCTAATAATCAGATTTTGATGCTCATGGTGGACACAGCACAGGTAATCCACTGTGTAGTTTTGTGCTTAATTACAAATAAATAAAATAAAAACCCACTTTTAAAGCTCCGTTTTTTGGGATTATGGCAGGGGTGGGCTGAATTCTTAAATTCTGCCAGCAAAAAAGCTAGAAGGAGCCCACAGATTTGTTATAATATTACTAAAATACATACTTTAGACGAATATGTTTGTTTGTAATTAAGCACAAAGGTACACAGTGGGCTATCTGTGCTCTGCCAACCACGGGTATCGAAACCCGGATTCTAGCATTGTAAGTCCGCAGACATACCGCTGTGCCACTGGGGGACGAAGAATATATCATTTAATGTTAAAACCCTAGTCATACTTAGTTCACATGATAAGTAGTGTTGAAAACACAGAGCATTCCTTCAAAAGATGGGAGGTAATATCTTCAATAGAAACGTTGTCATGTAAATTTTTTTTTATGCACATCATTATTGGTAGAATTAACATATGTTAATTTAATTGTTAATGTGATGGTAATAGACAAATAATTATTTCCTTATTGTACTGACATATAATTAATCTATTTTTTATGTATCTTTCCAAGGGAGCATACTGGGATTTTCTTGGTATCCCAATGAGTCAGTCTGCTCCTGGATTATGATATTATGTTGTTTTGATTCTCAAACAATGTTCTGTAAATAAATTTTTGTGGCTCTCTCTCATTGTGTAAGATGTTTTGAAATAACTGAAGGCTTTTTCTTTCTGCAGTTCTATGTAGAGTCCTGCTCCTAGCTTATATTTTAATAGCATTTTTTTAGCATATAGAAAAGTGGTTGGGATTATTATTCCTTATTTTTTAGTTCCTTCACATATCATTATTTTTATGAAAATAAATTATTATTAACTCTATGAAACTAGACTAAATATATTTATTATTCCAGATTTTGACTTAACAGTTTATTAAGAATACAGTTTACATAAATGCAGTTAACTATTGGGTTTAGCCCTAAAGCTTCATCTACTATATTGATGACATCTTAATGTTTTGTTTATGATATTTTAAATTTAGTAGTTCTCATAAAAGATCCCATACAGGATCCCACACAAAAGGTGCCATGAAGTTCAGAAAAAAAAAAATGACCCAAAACTCGAGCACTTTTGAATATTTGACTATTTTTCTTCAGGAGAATAGTAGATTAGGCTGTAGAACTAAACCATTGTTGATTGTATATATGATAAAGGCATAAGCTGAACTGATAAATAATGAATAAAATTAACTAAGTTTCTTGGTATTAGAGGTAATTTATTCTGATAAAAATTATTTAAACGCTCCAATTATGTCCTGAAAAGTTTAATTTTTACTTTTGACTCATCAGTTATTCTCACACGAGACCTGGATAGTTGGAATACTTGAAAATATTAATAAACAAATTTTCATTAGTGTATTATTTTCCTGACAATAATTGATTTAATTGTAATTTTGATTAATCATTTATTTTACATGACATTTATCAATGCAATTGATGCTCATATATAATCTATATAGATTATGCAAAAAAAATCATATATTTTTAGCATATTAAAATTTGTTTTTTAAATTACAGCTTTTAAAGTTTTAGATTGCTTTACACTGTTTTTAGGCATTTTAAAGTTCCCAAATATAAATTATATTTTGTTATATGTTTTTAACTTATCAAAAGATGACTAAGAAAAACCATTGAGAAGAAATAAGAAATTTGTCATATATTCTGAAGTCATGAGCCACTCTCCTGTAAAACAGGAGTTTATCTCTTTTATCAGAAGTAAAATATAAATCACCCACTTTGTGAAAATTTAACCCCATATTTGTATAAACTTTTAAATACTCATATTTCTAATAACAGTTTATTACTCTTTCTCCAAATTTTAATAGATATTCACTTTGCAACTAGATTTCTGACTAGCAAATATGTCTTTCAGATTTCAAGTGTATCAGGTTGTTTTTTTTTATTTATTACGTATTAGGTATTACGTATTATATATTAGATATTTATTAGTTTTCCACTGGTGATTTGGTTTATGAGTGTGTTTCAGAAATAAATTTTATCTGGTCAGGGTGGGTAAAAAAATAATCACACATTATTCACCCACATTAAAATGCATCTTACTGTTGTAGGCTCGCATCAGGCAGTGAAAGATGCACTGTTAGTGTAATTAAAGTAATGTTATTATAAATATATTGATTAATTTCAAAATATGTCTGGCTTCGTTGCAACATTGATTTCGAACTGTCATGTTATAGGCCTTGCCCCCTCCGTCCTAGAATGAATATAACTTTATAATTACTTTAAACGATAAATGAAGAAGATATTCTTAATACTTTTTGAACCGCCAAGTGCTGTTGGATGGAGAAATTGATACGTTTTTGAACAAAGAAACTTTTGAATTATATCTCATGAACCGAAAACTTGTCAAAACTAAAATAAATATATTTATCGCGAGATATAATCCAACAAAAACTTTATACATTTAATTGTAACCATTTCACTCTGGACATGGGGTGGTCATGTGTTAGAGCCCTGAATTTCGGAGTTGACGGGCCTCGTTCGAATCTGTGCTATACCACAAAATATTCTCCACACTTTCATCTATGGCTGCTTTAAAAGAACAACGGTCGATCCCGTAGGGTGGATGGTTGGTAGTAAGGAGCTGGTGACTGACTGTTTTCTCTCTGGTTAATAGTTCAAAATTAGGGACAGCAACAGATAACCTTAGTATCTTTGCCATAAATACAAATATTCCCTTACTCTACATATACATAAACATGTGTAAACGATGAATAAAGAGGTTGAAACCATATAACTATATGCAAAGATATGCGTACAAGCTATAAAAGCATAATTATCGGTTTATGCTACATTCTCTCTTAGTATTAGTTTTTATGGAAACGCGTTAAGAAATATTTGCATAATAGAAATAAATATACTAATAGTGAAGAAAACAGTTGAAATTATGTATATATCTATATTATGTTCTATTTGTAATATATAAGACAAATAAATACATATTGGGAATATAACATTTACTTGTTATTTGTATTTTGAAATTTGATTATACTGTACATTTCTCATTGAACGTTACTTGTTTAAGTCTTGTTTTTACTTGTATGACATCTTTAGGTAAGTAAGGATTTGAATAAAATTATATTTTCGAACTAAGTGTTTAAAATACGTGAATATATTATGATCTGGTACCTATTACACTGTATATTGTAGTCAATAATTATGAAATAAAGAGGTATTCTGAGGATAAATATCTTTCGGTGAGTCAGTGGTAAGTTTATGGACTTATAATACAAAAATCCAGGGTTCGACTCCTCGCAATTGACAGAGCGCAAATGGCCAATTGCGTAGCTTTGGGCTAAGA